ACAGGCTCACTCAGTGACACTCCAGATGGCACACTCATGTTATGAACAAAACTGGCATTTTAGGCTCAACCGAAAATTGATCCCATATTGGTTGAGCTGAAATGTTATGGCTTGATGAGGGTCTGAAGCCATGTGGTGTTGTAATATACAGTTTTGTGTGCTGACTGAGCCCCACTGGCCACTCCTCTATGTTGTATGTAATAGGGAGCTGAGCCACCAGACACAACCATGGCTTCTCTTCCATCCATGCATTTACTAAAAAAATTGTCAAGAAATAAAAGTTTCCTTTGAATACCCAAAAATGAGACTCTAAACTCTAAAATCTCTTATGCCAAATCTTTAATTTAATTAAAAAATTTCAATCGACACACCAAGTACAGACCAAGAGTTACTTCACCCAAAGGATTAAAAGGATTTTTCTCTGAACGAGAAAACTTACCAACAACACACAGATTCGTTAATTTCTACGAATTTGAGTCAGTGAAAGAAAACAAAACCCTTTTAACCCTAATCATGAAAAATACAAACTTTGCTCAATTTCAAGAGAGAACACAAGGTTTTACAGGGTTTTTTCTAAAAACGAAGAAAATCTAACAAGCCAACAAAAAATTAAAAGTTACCCCACATAAATAAGAAACCAAATACTGTTAAGGTAGTACATTTGAGTCTCAAAGAGGCAGAACTACCTTATTATGAAGACAAATGCATGAAATGAAAGCAGTTAAAAGTACAGAGAGAGAATCTCAACAACAAAGAGCAGCGCGGTTCTTGCAGCATAGCCAAGCGCATGAAGAAACAAAAAACAAAACCCTAGATTTCAAATCTAGGGTTTTGAAGAAAAAAATGCAAGAGCTTGGAAAAAAGAGTGAAAGGAAGAAAAGACAAAGAGAGGAGGAGGGAAAAAAAAAAAAGACTTGAAAAATAAAGAGCTTTTGAATTAAAGTGTGAAGGTGAGACCTCTTTTTTGTTTCTTTATTGCTAAGTAGTCAATACAATAGTCAGTGAGTGAAGGCAAGTGTGTAAGTGATGAGTAATTGTATTGGGAGAGACAACCCGGGGTCCACTAGTAAGCTACAACTGTAACATTACAGTACAATACCATGTCCTTGCCAGAATTCCTGTTCTTAGTTAATAGCCTCACAGTCCTAGGGCAGGCCGGAGACTTTCTTTTCCCTCTATAAAAACTATTGCTGGTTTAGGTTTTGGTAGTGCCATTGGAAAGGGAGAGCTTAAACGGAGGAATTAGAGTTGAGATATGATTTGTAATTTTATCCACTACATTTTAAGTCATTACTCTATTGTGTTTATGGTGCTATACAGTATAGGCTGTTTTGATTTTTGATCATATGATACGTCATGTCGTTTGTGTGAGTTTCTGGAGAATGAGATTGAGCCGGAAACATTGTTCAGTTGAACCATTTTCCAGCCTGGTTGGTTTGTGAAAGCCCACTTGGGTTTTGGACCAAGTCTGTTGCAAAATTCTCTTTGGATAAATGAGTTAACATTATTTAGTAAATTCATTGTATATTAATTTTGCTTAGAAAGTGGGAGGTTCATTTATTTTGTTCGTGCCCTAACCCCAAATGCAACAGCTGGTAACAACTATGGTACAAATTTCTGTAGAAGTTGAATCCCAAACAACTTGTGACTTGATACGTTGCCCTCTGCTGTCATTTTCAATAATAAATGGAATAAAGACAGATGAACTATTGAATTGCTGGAGCAATTTCATTGTTTTGGTGATGGTAAGTTTGATTGATGAGATATTATTTATTTAGAATGTTGAGTTAATGAAAAAATAAATAATTATAAAAAATATTAAAAATATTTAAGAAAATATGTTTGATTAGATTAAAATAAATCGATGATGTCTTTGAGATGATAAATTGGTGGGTATGTTATTTAAATTACTAAATATTAATATAATATTATTTTTTGAATTATTCTTTTAACCTCTTATATTTGAAATTTTGCTAAAACACTCAAATCATATAAAAGTAAAAGTTTAATTTATAATAAAATCACCCGATCACCCACCCCAAGCCACTGCCAATCGCCGCTGCCAACAATGATAGGAACGGCACACAACAGACCAGATCTAGCTGGCTGTGCACTGATCTAACTATGGATTTGGCAGCTAAAAACAAAATTTATTCTAACGTACGACACCGAAAATTTGGGCGTTAACAACCAAATCTATTATGATCAGAATAGATCTGGCTGTTTCCAACCATATTGGCGTACAACCAACCAGATTCGACCGGTCATGCACTATTTCAGTGGTGGTTGGCCAACAATTGACGGTGGTGGCTGGTAGGCGACAGTGGTGGTCCTGGATAGCCTGTAATTTGTTTTAAATATAAGGATATTATTGTCCAAAAATTTAATTAATTAGGCGTAAAATTGTAATGACATGTTCATGTAAATTAATTTCTAAATAACGGTATTACTGTCCAAAAAAATTAATAGTTAATTGTAAAATTGTAACAAAATTAAGATTACCAAATACCTAAGAAAATAGAAGTATTCAGATTACCACCTATATAACCAACAATAATTACTATTGGTTTTGGAAGATTCTAGAAATTTTATATTACTTGATAATCAAACGTGATAATATAAATAATATAAGATGACGTTACCTCAGAAATAGGGGATAAGCCGCAACCAAACAGCCCCACTATTTTTAAACCCAAACCGGAGGGCAACTCGTTCTACTACCCGGGTCAAGGGTCAACCGGTCCAATCGATTGAACCGATTGATTGGACCGGTGATGTTATCATGCTGACATCAGCATTGTAAAAAAAATCCAGATTTTTTAAAAATTTCAGATTTTCAATAACAACTTCCTAATTCAGCTTGAACAAAAACAAAAACAAGTAGGTAAACTAAACCACAATGATCTGGATGTTACTATGTAACTTTTAAAGGGTATTGGTTTTTTATTTTAACAAAGGCTTTGCATTTGCATAGCAATAAGAATTTGCTACAAATTTAACACCAAGATTTAACACTTAATATGATTTGAACACAAATGTGATCTTTTTCTGGCTCTTTGTCGGCGAAATAATGCAGTCACTTACAAAAACCGGTGCTAAAAGAAGGTGGACCTTAACAAGAAAAGTGGTCTGCATAAGTGCACCAAACATACTATAATCAATTAAGTTGACTTTAAATTGTGAAACATATGATAAATGTTGCATATCAACATAATGCTTGCAACTAATAATTAAGATCACAGAACAGCCTCTTCAAAACAATCAAAACATAGTAGCCCTTAATTCATCACTAAACATGCTACATTGCATGGCAGAAAATATATTATAATCTGTGAATAGCTTGATAAATGTATAAAACGAATAATTCCAGCCTAAGTGTCTAAGCTACACTATAGCTGAGATATCAAAATCCAGAAAAGGACTAACAAGAGTTGCTAACTGCTGCTTCTCCCGTCCCAGGAGGGCGGCCCCGCCCCTCTTAAATGCCTGAGAATCTGACGCTGAAGAAGGCTTAGGCTTAGGTGGCAAAGGCGAAAGCCCAAAGAGACCTCCATCAGGAGCATACTTTCGGGGCCTACCTCTCTTCTTCTTCACAGGCTCACTCAGTGACACTCCAGATGGCACACCTTGTTATGACAAAACTGGCATGTTTAGGCTCAACCGAAAATGTTGATCCCATATTTGGTTGAGCTGAAATGTTATGGCTTGATGAGGGTCTGAAGCCATGTGGTGTTTGTAATATAACAGTTTGTGGTGCTGACTGAGCCCCACTGGCCACTCCTCTATGTTGTATGTAATAGGGAGCTGAGCCACCAGACACAACCATGGCTTCTCTTCATCCATGCATTTACTAAAAAAATTGTCAAAGAAATAAAAGTTTCCTTTTGAATACCCAGAAAATGAGACTCTAAACTCTAAAATCTCTTATGCCAAAACTTTAATTTAATTAAAAAATTTCAATCGACACACCAAGTACAGACTCAAGAGGTTACTTCACCCAAGGATTAAAAGGATTTTTCTCTGAACGGAGAAAAACTTACCAAACAACAACAGATTCGTTATTTCTAACGAATTTGAGTCAAGTGAAAAAAACAAAAACCCTTTTAACCCTAAATCATGAAAAATACAAACTTTGCTCAATTTCAAGAGAGAACAAAGGTTTTACAGGGGTTTTTCTTAAAAACGAAGAAAATCTAACAAGCCAACAAAAAATTAAAAGTTAACCCACATAAATAAGAACCAAATACTTTAAGGTAGTACATTTGAGTCTCAAAGAGGCAGAACTTAACTTATTATGAAGACAAAAATGCATGAAATGAAAGCAGTTAAAAGTACAGAGAGGAATCTCAACACAAAAAAGAGCTAGCGCGGTTCTTGCAGCATAGCCAAGCGCATGAAGAGAACAAAAAACAAACCCTAGATTTCAAATCTAGGTTTTGAAGAAAAAAAATGCAAGAGCTTGGAAAAGAAGAGTGAAAGGAAGAAAAGACAAAGAGAGGAGGAAGGGAAAAAAAAAAAATAAAGACTTGAAAAATAAAGAGCTTTTGAATTAAAGTGTGAAGGTGAAGACCTCTTTTTGTTTCTTTATTGCTAAGTAGTCAATACAAATAGTCAGTGAGTGAAGGCAAGTGTGTAAGTGAGTGAGTTTGTATTGGGAGAGACAAACCCTGGGGTCCACTAAAGTAAGCTACAACTGTAACATTACAGTACAATACCATGTCCTTGCCAGAATTCCTGTTCTTAGTTATAGCCTCACAGTCCTAGGGCAGGCCGGAGACTTTCTTTTCCCTCTATAAAAACTATTGCTTGACCTTCAATATCATTTTACTGGTAGCAAGCAAAATGAGTTTAGCAAGACAAAAAACGAGAGGATCAAAGCAGACACCCTAAATTGATGGGTCTCAAACATATGGATTTTAAATTCAAAATTAAAGATGGGAAGTAGGCATATTACTGTAATGGTAGCAATAAGGAATACAATATAGTCCTTTAAAGAGCAATTAAATTACCTGAACAATGCTGGCAGCAATAAGCACTGCAACTCCACCACCAAACACATGACCATCAGGACTAGAAAGGGAAGCACTTACACCACCAGTTCGATTCCGAGGACCACCATCTTCAGCAATTAAATATGAACCTGACAAGCATAATATCTCGAAACGGCCCTACACAAGTGTAATAAATCAAATAAGATCCTCCAAACTATTTAAAACATTGGCACCAAAAGAAGCAAAAAGAAAAGCGCAGAAGCAGAAAAGGACCAAGGAACATATGAAGTACTGTTAAACATATTGACAATAGTAACCACCATTTGACCCAACTCTTACTTTAAGAAAGGAATGTCCACAGTTTTAGTAGCCAAAGCAATGGACTACAAATATACAATCACTCAATCTAGGGTTTTAACTAAATCCCATTTTACCAAAAGGCAACCCTCAGCAACTTCCTAAATTAATCTAGATTACATATCCAGGATAAATATGATGATTATCCAACTGCTCTCATCAAAATTGACTGACGTTAGCCACACCCTACTGATCTCTATTTGGCCATTTCTACCTTCAAGCGAACCCTTGTTCCACTCAAAATCACCATAATTGGCAAGCCATTTAAATCTGCAGCAGCATTGCCAACATGATTACACCAAAATAATAAAATAAAATAAAATGTAGTAATTGCAGCTTATATAGATTGCCTTGAGTTACAATTAAGATGGAAAACAAAATGTTGCCTTCATATCATAATTTCTTAAACAAAATTTCATGAACCCCATAAAAAGAAAATGTTTCTGGTGAAAGAAAAATATAAGAATGCTTCAACCTCATAAGTCCCATTTCGCTCTGAAGATGCAGGCTGGCGTAGTGTTACTGATGATACAGTACCACTCCCAGACAAGATGCACACAGCCCTTGGCCTCTGCTGTGAAAAAGATAATACTTTTGCTACAATGTCCTGTTAAGAAAATAAAACAATTAGCTGTTGATGACAATCATTTCAAAACCACTAACAGTCTGTTTGGTTGTTCTATTCTATTGGCCAAAAAAGCTTATTTAAAGGTATAAAAACTTCTGATATATTTTTAGATTGTTTATCAAATCTCAAAAGTGCTTATAGAATTTTAAATAAGCTATTTCATGTTTATTCTTTTTTAGCTTATTTAAATTATTGAAATTTCAAAAACATCCCTTTATTACTTTATAAATTTGACTTATAAAGTCTTTTTGGTAATTTAATACTTGAAAATTCTTTCACATTTTTCTAACCAAACAATTACTAATTTTTTTATAAAAGCTACATTTTCATAAGCTTCACTCTGATAAGCTCTACTCGAATAAGCCATACCAAATAGACCCTAGGTATGAAGCATAACTATGAGAACTTATCATTATGCATTTTTTTTCTGATAGGATTACCATTACAGATTTTTCAACACTATTTCTAGACTAGACAGAGTTCAAGCAATGAAATACAACATTATAGGCTCTAATGGACAGTATCACAAGAAAGATCCGTAAACAACCAGTGGATTCACATGATTGTATATGTAGTATAATTATCTTTATTTATCTTTTATCAATCCATAAGTTTCATTGATATGAATGAGCCCAGGTATCAATGGTGCTACACATAATATCCAATCTGTATTAACTAAATAAAGCATAAAATTATACAAAGTATTTAGGCATCTTTTTTAAGTACAAGAGAACCTCACGAATTTTAAAGCATATTTTAAAGGACCACACAAATGAAGGCCATCTATGTAGCTTAAAAAAGTATGTCCTGTGAAGGAAAAAATTCAAGTTTACACTTTTTCAAAGCAACCAAGCCACATCAAATAGATGTGTATAAACTCAGGCAACCTTGAACTCAAATAGGAAGCCAGTAAACAAAAGTGCAAGAGCATCATTATAAAATGAATCAAGAACTTGAAGTAATGGTGTATACCTCTCCAGCTCCAACAGAGATCACATGTGGTGCAAAAGCCAGTCCTGCTGAAGTGTTCATCCAGTCACCTAACAGAAACATTAAAAAATTAGACTAGAAAAAAAAAAAAAAAGGTTCAGCAACGCCCAAAATTTATGTATAACGAAAAAGAGGTACAAAGATATCCAGGATTCTCAACTCAATTAAGTAGAGGGCATACTTAATCGGAATACAATTAAAAATTGTGAAATCTTTTCCTTCAGTATTTCCACAACAAACATAAAAGCAAACACTATCGCAAAATTCAGTGGTGCAAATATCAAGCAAGTTCAAGTGCTGAAATTGTGACTTCTATATTCCAAAAATTAACACCAAGATTTTACAACTTAATATGATTTGAACACAAATGTGATCTTTTTCTGGCTCTTTGTCGGCGAAATAATGCAGTCACTTACAAAAACCGGATGCTAAAAGAAGGTGGACCTTAACAAGAAAAGTGGTCTGCATAAGTGCACCAAAACATACTATAAATCAATTAAGTTGACTTTAAATTGTGAAACATATGATAAAATGTTGCATATCAACATAATGCTTGCAACATTTAAATTAAGATCACAGAACAACCTCTTCAAAACAATCAAAACATAGTAGCCCTTAATTCATCACTAAACATGCTACATTGCATGGCAGAAAATATATTATAATCTGTGAATAGCTTGATAAAATGTATGAGAAACGAATAACTCCAGCCTAAGTGTCTAAGCTACACTATAGCTTAGATATCAAAATCCAGAAAAGGACTAACCAAGAGTTGCTAACTGCTGCTTCCTCCCAGTCCCAGGAGGGCGGCCTCGCCCCCTCTTAAATGCCTGAGAATCTGACGCTGAANAAGGTAGCTTAAAAAAGTATGTCCTGTGAAGGAAAAAATTCAAGTTTACACTTTTTCAAAGCAACCAAGCCACATCAAATAGATGTGTATAAACTCAGGCAACCTTGAACTCAAATAGGAAGCCAGTAAACAAAAGTGCAAGAGCATCATTATAAAATGAATCAAGAACTTGAAGTAATGGTGTATACCTCTCCAGCTCCAACAGAGATCACATGTGGTGCAAAAGCCAGTCCTGCTGAAGTGTTCATCCAGTCACCTAACAGAAACATTAAAAAATTAGACTAGAAAAAAAAAAAAAAAGGTTCAGCAACGCCCAAAATTTATGTATAACGAAAAAGAGGTACAAAGATATCCAGGATTCTCAACTCAATTAAGTAGAGGGCATACTTAATCGGAATACAATTAAAAATTGTGAAATCTTTTCCTTCAGTATTTCCACAACAAACATAAAAGCAAACACTATCGCAAAATTCAGTGGTGCAAATATCAAGCAAGTTCAAGTGCTGAAATTGTGACTTCTATATTCCAAAAATTAACACCAAGATTTTACAACTTAATATGATTTGAACACAAATGTGATCTTTTTCTGGCTCTTTGTCGGCGAAATAATGCAGTCACTTACAAAAACCGGATGCTAAAAGAAGGTGGACCTTAACAAGAAAAGTGGTCTGCATAAGTGCACCAAAACATACTATAAATCAATTAAGTTGACTTTAAATTGTGAAACATATTATAAAATGTTGCATATCAACATAATGCTTGCAACATTTAAATTAAGATCACAGAACAACCTCTTCAAAACAATCAAAACATAGTAGCCCTTAATTCATCACTAAACATGCTACATTGCATGGCAGAAAATATATTATAATCTGTGAATAGCTTGATAAAATGTATAAGAAACGAATAATTCCAGCCTAAGTGTCTAAGCTACACTATAGCTGAGATATCAAAATCCAGAAAAGGACTAACCAAGAGTTGCTAACTGCTGCTTCCTCCCAGTCCCAGGAGGGCGGCCTCGCCCCCTCTTAAATGCCTGAGAATCTGACGCTGAAGAAGGCTTAGGCTTAGGTGGCAAAGGCGAAAGCCCCAAAGAGACCTGCCCATCAGGAGCATACTTTCGGGGCCTACCTCTCTTCTTCTTCACAGGCTCACTCAGTGACACTCCAGATGGCACACTCATGTTATGAACAAAACTGGCATGTTTAGGCTCAACCGAAAATGTTGATCCCATATTTGGTTGAGCTGAAATGTTATGGCTTGATGAGGGTCTGAAGCCATGTGGTGTTTGTAATATAACAGTTTGTGGTGCTGACTGAGCCCCACTGGCCACTCCTCTATGTTGTATGTAATAGGGAGCTGAGCCACCAGACACAACCATGGCTTCTCTTCCATCCATGCATTTACTAAAAAAATTGTCAAAGAAATAAAAGTTTCCTTTTTGAATACCCAGAAAATGAGACTCTAAACTCTAAAATCTCTTATGCCAAAATCTTTAATTTAATTAAAAAATTTCAATCGACACACCAAGTACAGACTCAAGAGGTTACTTCACCCAAAGGATTAAAAGGATTTTTCTCTGAACGGAGAAAATCTTACCAAAACAACAACAGATTCGTTAATTTCTAACGAATTTGAGTCAAGTGAAAGAAAACAAAAACCCTTTTAACCCTAAATCATGAGAAATACAAACTTTGCTCAATTTCAAGAGAGAACAAAGGTTTTACAGGGGTTTTTCTTAAAAAACGAAGAAAATCTAACAAGCCAACAAAAAAATTAAAACTTAACCCACATAAATAAGAAACAAAATACAGTTAAAGGTAGTACATTTGAGTCTCAAAGAGGCAGAACTTAACTTATTATGAAGACAAAAATGCATGAAATGAAAGTAGTTAAAAGTACAGAGAGAGAATCTCAACAACAAAAAGAGCTAGCGCGGTTCTTGCAGCATAGCCAAGCGCATGAAGAGAACAAAAAACAAAACCCTAGATTTCAAATCTAGGGTTTTGAAGAAAAAAATGCAAGAGCTTGGAAAAGAAGAGTGAAAGGAAGAAAAGACAAAGAGAGGAGGAAGGATTTTAAAAAAAAATAAAGACTTGAAAAATAAAGAGCTTTTGAATTAAAGTGTGAAGGTGAAGACCTCTTTTTTGTTTCTTTATTGCTAAGTAGTCAATACTCAATAGTCAGTGAGTGAAGGCAAGTGCGTAAGTGAGTGAGTAATCGTATTGGGAGAGACAAACCCTGGGGTCCACTAAAGTAAGTTAAACCTGTAACAGTACAGTACAATATCATGTCCTTGCCAAAATTTCTGTTCTTAGTTCATAGCCTAGCCTCATAGGGCAGGCAAGGAACCTTTCCTTTCCCTATATACTAAATTATTTAATAAGTTTTGTTTTTTTGTTTTACTCTTTAATTCATTTTTTTACCATTTTATTTTGTACGAAAATTTTATAAAATGATATTATTGAAAAACAATTGCTGGTTTAGGTATAGGTTTTGGTAGTGCCATTGGAAAGGGAGAGCTTAAACGGAGGAATTAGAGTTGAGATATGATTTGTAATTTTATCCACTACATTTTAAGTCATTACTCTATTGTGTTTATGGTGCTATACAGTATAGGCTGTTTTGATTTTTGATCATATGATACGTCATGTCGTTTGTGTGAGTTTCTGGAGAATGAGATTGAGCCGGAAACATTGTTCAGTTGAACCATTTTCCAGCCTGGTTGGTTTGTGAAAGCCCACTTGGGTTTTGGACCAAGTCTGTTGCAAAATTCTCTTTGGATAAATGAGTTAACATTATTTAGTAAATTCATTGTATATTAATTTTGCTTAGAAAGTGGGAGGTTCATTTATTTTGTTCGTGCCCTAACCCCAAATGCAACAGCTGGTAACAACTATGGTACAAATTTCTGTAGAAGTTGAATTCCAAACAACTTGTGACTTCATACGTTGCCCTCTGCTGTCGTTTTCAATAATAAATGGAATCAAGACAGATGAACTATTGAATTGCTGGAGCAATTTCANTACTCAATAGTCAGTGAGTGAAGGCAAGTGCGTAAGTGAGTGAGTAATCGTATTGGGAGAGACAAACCCTGGGGTCCACTAAAGTAAGTTAAACCTGTAACAGTACAGTACAATATCATGTCCTTGCCAAAATTTCTGTTCTTAGTTCATAGCCTAGCCTCATAGGGCAGGCAAGGAACCTTTCCTTTCCCTATATACTAAATTATTTAATAAGTTTTGTTTTTTTGTTTTACTCTTTAATTCATTTTTTTACCATTTTATTTTGTACGAAAATTTTATAAAATGATATTATTGAAAAACAATTGCTGGTTTAGGTATAGGTTTTGGTAGTGCCATTGGAAAGAGAAAGCTTAAACGGAGGAATTAGAGTTGAGATATGATTTGTAATTTTATCCACTACATTTTAAGTCATTACTGTATTGTGTTTAGGGTGCTATACAGTATAGGCTGTTTTGATTTTTGATCATATGATACGTCATGTCGTTTGTGTGAGTTTCTGGAGAATGAGATTGAGCTGGAAACAGTGTTCAGTTGGAACATTTTCCAGCCTGGTTGGTTTGTGAAAGCCCACTTAGGTTTTGGGTCTTTGGATAAATGAGGGAACATTGTTTAGTAAATTCATTGTATATTAATGTGTAGAAAGTGGGAGGTTCATTTATTTTGTTCGTGCCCTAACCCCAAATGCAACAGCTGGTAACAACTATGGTACAAATTTCTGTAGAAGTTGAATTCCAAACAACTTGTGACTTCATACGTTGCCCTCTGCTGTCGTTTTCAATAATAAATGGAATCAAGACAGATGAACTATTGAATTGCTGGAGCAATTTCAGCAATTTCAATGTTTTGATGATGGTAAGTTTGATTGAAGAAATATTATTTATTGAGGATGTTGTATTAATAAAAAAATAAATAATTATAAAATTTATTGAAAATATTTAAAAAAAATGTGTTTGATTAAGTTAAAATAAATTCGTGGATGTGTTATATTGATATGTTTGATTGAGATGATAAATTGGTAGGCATGTTATTAAGATTATTAAATATTAATATAATATTATTTTTTGAATCGTTTTTTTAACCCTTTACATTTGAAATTTTACTAAAATACCATAACTATATAAAAGTTTAATTTATAACAAAATCACCCGATCACCCACCCCAAGCCACTGCCAATCGCCACTGCCAACAATCGTAGGAACGACACACAACAGATCAAATCTAGCTGGCTGTGCACTGATTTGACCATGGATTTGGTCGTTAAAAACCAAATTTATTCCAACGTACGACACCAAAAATTTGGGCATTAACGACCAGATCTATTATGACCAGAATAGATCTAGCTGTTTCCAACCATATTGGCGCACAACCAACCATATTCGACTGGTCATGCACTGTTTCAGTGGTGGTTGGCCAACAATTGATGATGGTGGCTAGCAGGCGACTGTGGTGGTCCTAGATAGCCTGCAATTTGTTTTAAATATAAGGACATTATTGTCCAAAAATTTAATTAATTAGGCGTAAAATTGTAATGACCTGTTCATGTAAATTAATTTCTAAATAAGGGTATTATTGTCCCAAAAAATTAACAGTTAATTGTAAAATTGTAACAAAATTAAGATTACCAAATACCTAAGAAAATAGAGGTGTTCAAATTACCACCTATATAACCAACAATAATTACTATTGGTTTTGGAAGATTCTGGAAATCTTATATTACTTGACAACCAAACGTGATAATATAAGTAATATAAGATGACATTACCTCAATAATAGGGGATAAGCCGCAACCAAACAGCCCCACTATTTTAAAACTCAGACCAGAGGGCAACTCGTTCTGTTACCCGGGTTACTGGTCAACCGGTCCAATCGGTTGAACCGGTTGATTGGACCGGTGACGTTATCATGCTGACATCAACACTGTAAAAAAATCCAGATTTTTTAAAAATTTCAGATTTTCAATAACAACTTCCTAATTCAGCTTGAACAAAAACAAAAAGAAGTAGGTAAACTGAACCACAATGATCTGGATTTACTAAGTAACTTTTAAAGGGTATTGGTTTGTTATTATAACAAAGGCTTTGCATTAGCATAGCAATAAGAATTTGCTACAAACGAAAAGGAAAAAAGATGCCAATTAAATTCGACAGATACATTCCTATCAAACTTGTTTCAATATACAGTATTATATGTTATAGCTCCACCCAAAATTTATAATTGATAAAAACTTTTGTAGATTACACCATGCTTGAAATGCGAAACAGATTGCAAATCTGGGTTATTCAACCACAATGAGAAAACACAAATCATTTGGGTACCTTCAAATTATCTTCCACAATCCAAGTAAAATAATTCTGCAATTTCCAATCAAATAATCAAAACAAAACTCCCAAATATGGAGGATTCCGCCAAAAAAAGAAAAAATGTACTTCCAATCAAATGAACCAAGCATTACAATCAAAACAAAACTTTCAATCAAATAATCCAAACAAAACAAAACAATACTAAGCCGACAGAGAATCAAAACAAGGAGAGGCGTCGTAAAATAAACCCAAACTTCCAAGTTCCAAATCAAAACAAAACTTCCAATATCGAGGGTGTTGTATTAATGAAAAAATAAATAATTATAAAAATTATTGAAAATGTTTAAGAAAATATGTTTTATTAGATTAAAAAAAATTATTAGATGTGTTATATTGATATGTTTGATTGAGAGGATAAATTTGTGGGCATGTTATTAAGATTACTAAATATTAATATAATATTATTTTTTAAATCATTTTTTTAACCCCCTACATTTGAAATTTTGCTTAAACACCCAAACCATATAAAAGTTTAATTTATAACAAAATCACCCGATCACCCACCTCAAGCCACTGCCAACCGCCGCCGTCAACAATCACAGGAATGGCGCACAACAGACCAGATCTGGCTGCCTGTGCATTGATCTGACCATGAATCTGTTCGTTGTGCACTATGGATTTGGCTGTTGAAAACCAAATTTATTCCAGCATACGATACCAAAAATCTGGGCGTTAACAGCCAGATCTATTATGACCGGAATAGATTTGGCTGCTTCCAACCAGATTGGTGCACAACTGACCAGATTCGATTGGTCATGCACTGTTTCAACGGTGGTTGGCCAACAATTGACGGCAATGGCTGGCAAGCGATAGTGGTGGTCCTGGATAGCCTGCAATTTGTTTTAAATATAAAGACATTATTGTCCAAAAATTTAATTAATTAGGCGTAAAATTGTAATGACATGTCCATGTAAATTAATTTCTAAATAAGGATATCATTGTCCAAAAAAATTAATAGTTAATTGTAAAATTGTAACAAATTAAGATTACCAAATACCTAAGAAAATAGAGGTATTAAGATTACCGCCTATATAACCAACAGTAATTACTATTTGTTTTGGAAGATTCTGGAAATCTTATATTACTTGACAACTAAACGTGATAATATAAGTAATATAAGATGACATTACCTCAATAATAAGGGATAAGCCGCAACCAAACAGCCCCACTATTTTAAAACCCGAACCGGAGGGCAACCTGTTCTACTACTCGGGTCGTCAACCGGTCCAATCGGTTGAATCGATTGATTGGACTAGTGATGTTATCATGCTGACATCAGCACTATAAAAAAAATCCAGATTTTTTAAAAATTTCATATTTTCAATAACAACCTCCTAATTCAGCTTGAACAAAAACAAAAACAAGTAGGTAAACTAAACCACAATGATCTGGATGTTACTATGTAACTTTTAAAGGGTATTGGTTTATTATTATAACAAAGGCTTTGCATTTGCATAGCAATAAGAATTTGCTACAAACAAAAGGAAAAAAGATGCCAATTAAACTCGACAGATACATTCCTTTATATATAAAACTTGTTTCAATATACAACAATATTATATGTTATAGCTCCACCCAAAATTTATAATTGACAAAAACTTTAGTAAATTACACCATGCTTGAAATGCGGAAACAAATGCAAATCTTGGTTATTCAACGACCGTGAGAAAACACAAATAATCTAGGTACCTTCAAATTATCTTCCACAATTCAAGTAAAATAATTCTGCAACTTCCAATCAAATAATCAAAACAAAACTCCCAAATATGGAGGATTCTGCCAAAAAATGAAAAAATGTACTTCCAATCAAATAAACCAAGCATTATAATCAAAACAAAACTTTCAATCAAATAAACAAAACAAAACAAAGCCAACAAGAATCAAAACAAGGAGAGGCGTTGTAAAATAAACCCAAACTTCCAAGTTCCAAATGAAAACAAAACTAAGCATTATGATCAAAACAAAACTTCCAAATCCAGAAAAAGAGAATCAAAACAAGGAGAGGTGTCATCGATTGAGATTTCGAGAGGAAATACCTTTACAAAGCTTAAGCGAGGGACAGAGGCGACGTCGTCGTCTATTTCGAGCAAGGGAGTGTCGTCGTTGTCGATTTTCAGCAAGGAATGGAGATGTCATCATCTTCGTTGTTGTCGATTTCCAACGAGGAATGAAGTTGTTGTCGTCGTCATTGTCGATTTCCAACGAGGGAGGGAGACATCGTCATCAATTTCAAAGAGTGGAGTTGCGATTAAGACAATGGTTGCGATTTCAAACTTCAAAAAGTGGAGTTCATTGAGATTGAGTGGAGATTTGAGTGGGCAGATATGATTGCAAAAATTCAGAGGCGCTTTTGTGTAGAGAGACTGAAAAAAGAATAGTTTTAGCGAATTTTTTGCTTTTGAAATATTGAACCGTTTTATCAAGTGGTCTGATTGGACCGGATGATTTGCACTATTTATTCGGTTTAATAACAATTTATTAGGGGTTTTTGAGCATAATCGAATTTTATATTAACTCGGATCAGACATGCGCAACTGGGTCCCAGTCAAACCGGTTAGACCAGCCAGTCCGGTCCCTTTTTAAAACAATGAACAGCCCCTTAAATTTTTCCTTCCTAGCCAAGGAGATAAAATAGCTCTTAAATTCCGATTACAAAGACCAAAATAAACATCCTACATAAATAATGTGACTAATTTCTCGGATACGTGATTCATAAATAATCTTCAGTTGTACAAAAGATGAGTATATCATGTAATCACAAATGTAATTCGATCAAAAGACTTTGCTAGCTTTAAAATGGTACCGGATTCTTTTGCGACATGTATTTTCTTCTTCTTCTTTAGCCATGAAAGCTTATTAAGAACTTCTTAAAGCCAAGTTGAAACAGATATGCCTGATAAACTACCACTTCCATGGAGATGCAAGTATGCAATATCCACATACATACTTTGGAAAATGGACTTGTCTTTACTTATTTGCTTCCAACTTCACCTTATCGAGATATTCCTGTGAAATGCAAGTAATGATAAGTCAAAATTAAGTTTAATGATAGGTCAGAATTAAGTTTAAAGGGGTGACTTCCAAACCTATGCGCTAAACTAATAAAAAGGAAAAAGGAAAACATAAAATTGGACACTACAGTTATTCCACATACATGCAAGTCTAGAGTATGCAATATCCACATACATCCTTTGGACAATGGACTCGTCTTTACTTATTTGCTTCCAACTTCACCTTTCTGTTCACCTTATCTAGATATTCCTGTAAAATGTAAGTAATAATATATCATAATTAAATTTAGAGTGGTGATTTCCAAAAGTACATGCTAAACTAACAAAAAGTTAGCTAACAAAAAGGAAAAGAGAAAACATAAAGTTTGACTCTACAAATATCTCTAATTGAAAGCTCAAGGCAAAATGAAACTAATTTTTTTTAGAATTTTGTAATAACTTGATATATGAAATTACACATTATAAAAGTTTTATCTTGGCTGTTGGTTCGACTGTATTAAACTATGAATCATCAGTTGTCAAATCTTTGATCCTACCAAAGAAAATGTTATTCCATCATTTAGTTTGGAACTTAAAAAGAACTTATAATACTTTCTATTGCAAAGTATTATCTATAATAAAATCAAATCAAACACTCTATCAAAAGGATAAAAAAGAAGTCACCTGCAATATCCCAACAGCAGCAAACTTGTCAAGAAATGTCTTAGCCTCATATTGAGTCAAAGTCTTTTTTAAAGGCTTTAAGAACAATTCCACATTCTGCCAATAGTATGAATACAAGATTCAGTCATGTTAATTTCTAAAGTTGAAGACAGTATCATAAATAGGCACTTAGAAAATGCAAAATGAAAGGCTAAGCTTAGACTTTAACAGTTTCATGTAACATAATTCATAGATGTGTTTTTGACAACTGTTACATCTAAACAAATTTTAATCTTATTTAATAATAATCTATTTCTCCTTAGCATTAACATTTTCCAATTCGGATAACATCTAATAATTAATGTCATACCCTACTGGAGAGCTATGCTAAAATGAGAAAAGTTGTACCATAATGCACTCACCTTTGATGTAAAGCACTCTTCCCAATATGTGTACTCTACACCTTCTAGTTTTCCTGTTTTAGAGAGCTCTTCAATAAAAAGCTTCACTTGCATAGCCTAACCAAATAAAATTAATTTAATGAGATCGACACTAAATGACTTAACAAAACAAAAATAATTTAATGAGATAGGGATTAAATGACTAACCAAATAAAAATAATTTAATGAGATTAGAAACTAAATGAAAGATTATAGTAACAACACATGTGATGAAAACTCACATCAGGAGTGTTCTGTTGTCTATTGGAAGGATAGCCAACAATGAAACCTTTCAGATTAAATTCCGAGACCTGCATAAATACAGATTATAAGCTCAGTTGATAAGTTAACATGATCCAACTTACAGCCTAATCGATATAAACAACATAAACACAATATTCACCTCAATGGAAGACCTAACATAATAATTTAATACACAAACATGACCCTTACAAATTTGGTTCCAAGTTATCATTCAAAAAAAGACAAAACTTAATCAATGATCTTCACTAAATACCACACTAAACTAATTAGTACTAAGTGGTTAAAGAAAAAGAATAAAGAATATACAGTGATGGGAAACTTTACCAGGCTTTGTAAATCACCAACCACCAAATCAATATTTCCTTTCTTCCTAACCAAAACACTGCAACATTGACAATAACCCACATCATACAGCCACAAACATAACTAATTTCTATATATTAACACCCACATAAACAAAAATTAAATTACACCATTAAATTATGTAGACTCATACCATAAAGGCGATGCAATCTTATTCTTCGAGTCTGAAACCGCCAACCCAACGTATCTATCACCCACATCCAAACCAAGCAATCGACTTCGTTCCAAAACTTTACTCTTGAGGATATCACGGAACATATTCAAGGGTTTCACGTACTTCATCTGAGATTTAATTCATCAAGTCAAAATATTGAATTAAGCATCTTAAGCAGATAAACATAAACAATGTTATATATTTCAAATTTCATAAACTCTATCAAACATAAAACTTAAGAAAATACACTATTTTGAATTTTACAAACTCTATCAAACATTAAACATAAGAAAGTACATACAAACTGGAGCTGGAGCCAAGAGTTTTATAAATGTTTCTTTTTCGAATGTGACATTTCCACAAATAGTTAATAGATAAAAACATAGGAAAACATTTAGTTATCTATTATAGTGGGAAGCATAAACACAAAATCAATCACACTCTCACAAGGCCAAACGAAAACAAATGGGTAGCACTATATTAGCACTTGAGAGGGAGGAGTTTCTTTAATTTTTACTTTGTAAAGACGAGATTCTTCTAGCTTATTTCCAAAATCTCTCCTAAAATGAAATTTGGTTCTTAAAATTAATAGGAATAAAACTAACGTATGGGTTGTTTAAGTTTGCATGCAATAAGTCTATATATCAAGTCACGTGTCATTTCATATTATTCGATGATGCATATAAATTGTGCTTTCCTTTTAAACTAAAGGTGTTTTTATGATAACAAAACTATGAGTTTATTACGAATTCGTCCCGAAATTTGGGAAAATAGCCACTTTGGTCCAGTAAAATCCAAAAGGACACTGCAGTCCCTATTAGACAATTAGTTGACTACCATTAAAAGATTTAGTTCTTCGTAAAGCTTGAGCAAGGAAAAATCTATAGAGTAATACTACACTTACAAAGAAATTTTACAAAGATCTCCATACAAAGTGATGTGACAAAAAATTAATGAAAGAGTGAATTTAATGAGTTTGACTTTTTGTTTCACTCTTCTATTCATATTTTGCAACCTCACTTTATACGGAAATCTTTGTAAGATTTCTTTATAAGTATAATATTATTGAAATCTATATCGCCCCTATTTGTCTTATGAGGAAAAATAAATACAGAATAAAAAATTGAAACTAAGAAGATACCCCTACAGTTTCAAAAACTAAATCCACGATGGTGACTTCGGGGATATCATACAATATCACCCCTAAAATTTGAAAAATATTAAAAACATCACCCCTGAACGTGACACTGTTACAACTTCTGTGAGTGACTTGAGGGCAAGTTTGTCTTTTCACTCACTTTCATAAGTAAACAATTAAAAAGCCTAAAAAATTAAAAAAAAAAAAAAAAGCCTTCCACCCCATCAAGCAGCCACTACTAGCCTACCCACATGGGCAACCCACCACAGCAGCCCCTCCCACATTTACAAACCACTACATCAGCCCCTCCTCAACCTCAACCCAACTAAGCAACATAAAAACAAATTAATGCCACATCCAATAAAACTAATCAAGAAATATATGAAACAATAAAACTAATTAAATGACAAAAATGTCCTACACCACCAATCATCAGGCCACCTGAACTGAAAACCCACCCACACTATCAAGGAGGCACCATGAAACTCAGTGAAAGAATCAGCAAACACAAACACAGTGAAAAAACAATCAACGAACCCTTTACTCACCATATACTCCCAACGTTTTACCAACAAATTAAAAAAATAGAAACCACAAGATTGTTATAACAAAAAAAAAAAAAAATCACAACATATATCACCCAAATAAATAACTCACTGGAAGATCAACACGAAGAACCACCGTTTTTGTCCTCCTCAAGACACACACAATCAGGCGCGTATGGATTGGAGTGATCGTCGGCTACTAGGTAAGGGGTGGAGCTGGAGAGGAGGGAAGGCGCAACTGTTAGGGGTCCAGGTAACAAGGCACGGCCTTAAGAAAGATTGAGGTGGGGCGACGAGGCGCGGCGCAGATGTGGAGTGGTGGTTTTGAGTTGAGACAGTATGGCGGTTGGGTGAGGTCGTGAAATGGCGTTTGGGGATGGACGTAAGAGGAGGGCGGGTTGTTAATTTCTTTTATATTTTCTTTAATCTTAAGTTTATACTTTTATTTAATAGTGTCAATGCCATATACTCCTTTCCGTTAGTTTAGGGTGTCAACTTGGATGGAAAACTCTAACTGACTAACTTAATTACCAATTTACCCATATGTTTATTTTAATTTGACTCTTTTACTTTTAATATTTTTTCAAAAAATAAATATTCTAATTACTCTGCATAATAGCTTTAAGAAAAGATAAAAGAATTTAGAAAAAGTAACAAAATCTTTAGAAAAACTCAAAAACACTGAAAAGAAAATATACAAAAGTATAAAACCCATATGGTCCCCGTTGCCAAGCACCGGTCATTGCTGAGATGGATCCCGCTTGGCAAGGCCATATGCAGCGAAGGCTGGCCAAGCCGACCATAGTCAGTAAGGCTGAGGCACCGATATGGCCAGATGGAACGACGCTAGGCCACGACCTGCCACTGATTTTGGCCACGCATGTCGCATGGCTAGATCAAGTCAGTGAGTCACACATACCAACACCTAACGATGCTTCTTCACTGCTGGCACCCAATTTTTTTTATTACATTTTGATGTTCGGCTTTAGTTTTTTTAATTTTTTTTTATTTAAATGTTTATTATTTTCGATTATTGAAACTTATACAAAGAGTCCATGGGTAGTACTCTCTCCACCCCAATATTTTCTTATTGCAAGCTTGGATGTCAAATAGGATAGAGTTCAATAATTTCACGTACTAAAAATGTTGATAAATTTTCTTTGGCTACTGAATCTTTGCATGAAGATGGCCAGTTTGTTTTATAAGAAAGTCATTTGGAACCAAATGCCATTTAAGTGTGCAAGTCAAGCGGAACTTTCAAACAGCCTGCCCGTCTACAATTCATTAATTAAATGCAGAACCAGGTGTGAGGCTGATGACGTTCTAGAGAACAGCCCTGAAACAAAAACTCCACATACAGGCATACAGCTTCATCCATAACCGAGGCAAGGGAAAAAAAAATGAATTTTCATTAATAAATGGACCATTGAGCTAACAAGACAACTGAGCTTAAACCATATGAATAAATTGAATGATTGATCACTATTTATATCCATCTCCTCTTTACTGTTGCGTATGAATAAATGGTGATAGACTTTCCAGAGCTTCACGTCTTTTAGCTGCTCTTCTGAAAGGCTTCCGATTTCGCCACCACAAGCTATCAATCCCACTAGAACAGTTAAGTAAACTAGTGTTATTTGTAATTACTAGCATCTGTGTTAGACTTGTTCCCTCTTTTCTCTGTTTTTTTCTAGATTGTGTGTGTTTAGGTGAAGGTGTTTTTGGCTCCAGCAACATGGAGTTTGATCTGTCAAATCATAAAAGAAAACAGTTACTAAAAGACTATACATGACAATTAAACATAACAATGGAATATTAAGAGCTTGGTCTAATAGTTCTAAGAATTATGCCCCTTTGTTTTTTTGTCACAACCACAAAATATGTTCAGGTACTGGAAAATGTTAGTCCAGATAAAAAATGTAGTTCCTTCTTAAAAGTCAGTTTGTTCTCACAAGACCTAACATCCTCAGAACTTGTATCCTCAGAACTTGTACGATGAAAGGAAATAAAAGTGATAAAAGTTTTATGATCCATGTTAATGCACCTTCAGAGGAACATTGTTTTACTCTATATTTATATATATCATATCAAAAACATTCCCAACCGCCACCTGATGGAAAAGCTCAAAGCAACAGCAAGAAAAATACATGCTAATGGCTAATGCAATGCAATTACCATGTATGAGCATTATTTCACTTACCTCTCATTATCATCGACCGTTTGTTGTGTAGACAATTGTTCTGCTTCAGGTTTACATGCAGCACAGATGTAGATCTTTGGAGGGGAAAGTAATTTAATACAATCAAAATGATACCACTCATCACATCGATCACAAGCAATCATTGTTCTCTCATCATAAGGCTTCCGGCATATGCAGTAAAGCATACTTCGATCTCTTAATGACTGCACCCACAATGAAAAAAAAAAATGATTAACATTGCCAAGGCAATTAGTTATACAACAAAAAAATTGGTTACCTTAAGTTCCCTCTCCAAGTAAACAGGTAAATCTTCTCCCTCTGTAATAAGTTCAAAGACTTTATCTAAGCTCAATGCCCCAGCATCCATAGTGACCTGCAAAAAGGAAGAAAAATAATGCTAAATCAATGATACAGAAAAACTATATAGAGAGATCAAGAGATTTTATTCGCAAAACCCTATGCACCTTCTTTGCACGATCTGCCCATTGCAAGCCAATGCAATTCAGTTCTGTAAGCTTCTGTCTAAAGTGATCTTCAGGTGTTATGTCCACAGCCAGTCCCTGCCATATTATTTGTTACAGAATTTAGCACAACAGTAACACAGAAAGTAGCAATGCCCGCAACTATATTTTTGTGTGCACGATGGCATGAGGCCAAAGTGACCAAAAAAGGTTGGCACAGGTGATCTATCTCAGGAGAAGCCATAAATGAAAAGCCAATGGCACATACCTCTTTCAAATATTGTTGTATCTGTCGGATTTTAGGTTTTGTTGAACCCTCTAATAATTTATTAACTTTGGCTCTCCATGAATTTCTTGCTAATGCCAGGTCAAGCATTCTATTGCTTTGATGATCATACACTCCTGCCACCTCTCTCGCCTGTGCAATAGAACGACCTCTAATCAGGAAGATAATACCATTTGTGATTACAATATATTTCATTTCATGCTGCTTAACAACCACCAGTAGAGATTGGAGTGGCCAATTTCAAACAGAGTGAGGGAGAGATAACTCTAATCAACAAAATAAATCATGAAAATGAAAATGAAAACCTTACAAGAAGCAAGAGTTAATGAGACACGGATTGAAAATAAGAACCTTTAAGGCAACAGTTAGTTTATTGGAGATGATGCTAAGGTCTTTATCCAAATTAGAAAATTCAAACTTCAGAATATCAGTCAAGCAGGTCTTGCAAGCAAGAGCTTCATCCACAACTTCTTGTAATATATCTCTTTCTTCAATCCTGTAAGGCAGCAAAAGTAACCAAAAAAGAAAAGGTTGTTCCATATAATTTTAGTAATGTCCGCATATGCCCATGAAACATTAGAGTAACCACTAATGGCTGAGGACAAAGGACAAAAGAACTAAACAGCATATTCAAAGATCACCCACAGATTTGATGCAGAGCATCTTACCCGACACAAAATTTTTCAGAATCTGACAGAAGTTCAATCAACTTTATCAAGTCAGAGCGCTTTCCTTCGTATGTCTGTACAACCAAAGGAAAACAAATAAACAGATACACAAGCTTATAAAACAAATTACACCAAAAGAGTGGAGGAAGAGGGAATAGGGAGGAAATTTGTCACACCAGAAGGCTGCATCCATTTACAGATATTGATCCACTTTCAAAAATTTGGCAATAAGGACATATATACTCTTCTGCATCATTTGTACCAACTGCTGCCGTTGGTCCAACACACTGCAAATGGTAGCTGTTCATAAAAGATAAAAAACACGTGTTTAACAGATCAAAGAAATGTAAAAGAAAATAGTTTACTGATTATATGAAAAAATGTGACGAGCATATTATACATATCCAAGAGAAAAAAAGATTCAGTGAACAATGCAAAAACTAATTGGTTACTACTCCTAACCGATAGCTTTAAATATTATAAGCCTAATTTTTTTTTTATTTTACTTTTAAGCCTAAAAATTAGTAATGGTAATTCTTAACGACCTTTCCTACTCTTTCAACGAAATAAAAGCATAACCAGGTTACTTCAAAAATTTAACAGAAACTTCCCACATATTATTTAATCTGCCAGAAAACTCCCCTGAAATTCACTAAAAAACTGCTCTAATTTTTCTCAGAAATCTCCCCAGAAGGGAGATAGTCCAAATAAAAAACAAAAAAGGTTTGAGTCTAATTCATCCAACAAAATGCTCTTCCCACCCATTTCATAAGCATGAATATTAAATATTATCAAAATGACGATAAAAAAAATTGCTGATAGTTGATGAGGAAATTTGCAAGTCATTCTGGCAAGTACTTTTGTTAGTGTGCCACATAACTTATATGCAAAAAATTTGGTTTTCATTGTACTATTCCGTTCAATCAATCAACCACTCAATCAATTGACCATCAATCACTCAATTTGTGTTGACTGCACAGGGTTGGTTTTGGAGATGAAGGTGTGTAGAGAAAAAATACAGCTTCTATAATTTAAATAATCAGTGTAAATAAATTTTATTCTATGCATATGGACTCACTTCTCAGTAGCCCATAACACTTGTAATTAGACTAAATCTAAAGGGAGATCAGCAAAATTTGCCCAATTAGTATTGAAAATTAACAATACATTCAATACCACCTCACCAGTCTTTGCAAATTGAACAAATTAAATGATTCTGTTCCCCATAATCACTCGCACAGCAGGTGCACAATTTTTTTGGTGTTGAGCCTTGTGACTTTTTATATATGTACAATGATCTATCCAAAGACTGTTTCAGCTGCACAAAGGTTAAAAAGGATTCCAAGGCTCAATGATGCACATGAAAATAATGATCATCAAAGCTGAAAATAAATGTAATTATCTGATAAAGACCTTCTGTAGAGAGCCAAACAATTTATTCATCTCTCCAATAGAACTCCCAACAATATCTGCACATCGTTGCTTCCAGTTCTCAACCTTATAAACTTCAGATACAACCATTTCTAGCTCTGAACATTGAAAAGCAGTAGCTTTCCCAAAATCCTGATCGTAATCAAATCATTAACCAAGAATATGATTTATACCAATTATGTTACTTAAATTAACTTGAATTTTAAAGTTATGAACTTGACTAGCGGTGAAAATATTAACATGCAAAAGTACTAGCTGAGATTCTACAAAGAGGATTTATGCAAATATGAATGAAGAAAAAAAATTAAAATAATGTAATATCAGTCATTGAACTTCACCAAGCAAACACACATTGCATACCTTC